TGAAAAAATGTTTACTGACTTTAAATAGCTCACATCTTTTTTCTGAGGCTCCAGCTCAGAGACTGTGCGGCACAGATATTGTTGGCTGGATCATAAGGCTATTGTTATGCCCAATATAAATATTTTAGTTGCTGCCTCATGAGTGGTATTTGGAAAGTGCTACATATCCTTATTTTAATCTCTTTTTGCATATGCAGCAACTGAGTTGCATGTGTGGGACTTTGTCAGAAGCAGGGTTAAATACGGCCTGTGTCATTAGATTGTCTCCTTCTCTGCCGAAACCTGTGTGGTTGCACCCTTGTAAGGTAAGTGGAAGTGACCACTGGCGAGGTTATGAGAGGCGGTGAGAGGAAGGAGACGGTGCAAGAATCAAATAGATTATTGAGTGCCTGATATGTATGGATATTTACTAACACACATCGGAACCTGTTGTTCAAAACAAGTCACGTATCCACTCTGTTCTGTTCATAGGTGATCATGGAGGAAGCACTTTACTCCCACCGAATGTCACAAATGAATTTCCAGAGTATGGGACCATGGAGGAAAGTGGAGAAGGCCTAAGAACTTCTCTCGAGTTTGATGCAGAGTCTCTGCCTTGCTGCCCACATGGGCAGCAGGGGGTCCAGCTTCTTGTTGGCCACCACTCTGGGCTTGACAATGTTATAGAAGGACCAAAAGATGGAGGGGCCTCCTCTCAAAGTCACCTCAAGGAACAAAGTTTACAACCCATAGACTCTTTGATTTCAGCTCTGAAAGCTACAGAAGCCAGAATAGCTTCAGGAACATTACAGGCTACAAAGGTACCGGACAAGGATGCTGTTTCCAGTTTCTCGGTTCAGCAGGTGGAAAGACAGCTGGACACTGCCAGTCATCAGACACAGCCAGCCAGCAAACTGTTCCCTGCGGGCCAAGGAAAACCACCAGATATACCTCTTTCAGCTGAAGTGACGACGGAGGAGAATCTTCATGTGAGCGCCCAGCAGCATCTGACTGTGCTGTTCCGTGGAGAAGCCCAGGCAGAGCTTCCCCAGATACCTGCTGATGGGAGGAAAGGGGCTGTCCGTGCGCAGGGGCCAGCTTGCCCGGCGTCCTCCGCGGGGAGCCCAGCAGCGGCCCACAGCTCTGCGGGCAGTGATGGTTTTCTCAGAGAGTGGAGGTCTGACCTGGGGAGACAGCACCCAGGGGCATGTGAGCGAAGCAGCTCCACAGGACGGTCTGGCCGGGTCAAACATGTGGAGTTTGAAGGGGTGGAAATACTGTGGACAGGAGGGGAGAAAATAGAGACACAGCAACCTGTGGATTTGGAGCCATCCTCGGAAAGGACTACGTCACCCGAGAGCAAACGGTTTTCCCAAGTGCCAAGCCGTCTTATCTCATCTGTTGGTTTGTGTAATTCAGTTGGTTTCACTCAGAGTGTTGGGGGTGAAACCTGGAGAGGTCTTTCAGAGAGGCCTGCCACTAGCTCGGGGACATTTTCCCCTATGCCTCTCGTTGAGAGTGGAGAGGATGAAGTCTTCCTAAAGGAAAACAAAGAACATCTTGAGAATAAACCTGAACTGGAGAGAAACAAGGAGAGGTGAGCTCCCACAGTCCTGCTGTCTGTGAGGCCTGGTATATAGAGTAAGAAACCATCATCCTTGCTTAGCTATGAGAACTCAACTCACAATATCCTGGGTCCTTTTTTTTTATCAAACAACAGAAGAGAAGTTACTGTAAGCTAGATTCCTCCTAGGTCCTGAAGCTATTCTGGTGATCTTGTTATGAACTTGTCCATTAGGCATAGACCAAAAAAGCAGACTGATGGAGAGACTGTGAGCACTAACTGTGTGAATCCATTTCTGACATTTTGTTGTATCTGACAGGTTTCAAATTTTCTAACATCAGAGTAACTACAACATCCCACAATTATCTTTAATAACATAAAAAAATGTGGACTGTTTTGACATATGCTATAGTCATTACATCCTAACTTAGGCTTATGTTCTAGGTGCAACACCAGTGCCTACATACATGTATGAACACAGAGGTTCTGAGTAGGGTCTGACTCAATCTTTTCAGTGTTGCAAGATCAGGTCAGAAACAGACTGTGTAATTCAGTTGTTCCTTGGCATTCACATGAGAATCCTTTCTCACAGGAAGAGTGTGTTTTGATTATTTCCCTGATAAGTGAACTCGGCATCATGTGCTGTTTCCTGGCCTTTCCATTCATTTCTGACGTCACATCCACACCAGCTTAGAGCCTGGATTAATGGGAGACGTGGCCCAGCTTCCCTTCCTACTCTCGCCATGCAGTGCTCCTTTCCGAAGCCATCTGAAGCATCATTTCAGATTCGTACCATCTTTTCTGCCCTCGCTCTTCATGACGCTACATTTCATTGCTTTTACAGGAGAACCTCGGTGCCAAGGCTGCAGGGCTTTTGTCTGTTTGTTAGTTTGTGCGGCTGGTATGAGGGAATGCCTTTTCCTCCGTAGTTAATGAACAAGTCCATGGAGAGTAAGGCTCCTTTGGATGGCTGTCAGGGCTCCTCCATGTGTAGATTATTCATTCATTTGTCCTTTCCTCATTCTCTTCCTTTCCTTCCACACCCATTGATTGTCCTCTATGTCCTTAACACTGCTAGATGCTGGACATTAAGGATGTTTAAAATAGACATGGTCCCTGGTCACTGCCCTCTTTGTGGTTTACTGCTGAAGATAAACAGTGACCAGAGAAACATGTTAATAACTATAGGACCAGTTGGGCTAGGTTCTGTGAAGGAAAAGGGAGAGACACACTAGAAAGAATCATTTGAATGCAACAGAGGCTAATTCATTTGATGACTTGGGGAAGGCCCTTCTTTGGAAATGATAATTAGGCTGAGACTTGAGGAATGACCCTGTTGCAGGCAGAGAACAGGGAGGAAGAATATTCCAGGTAGAGGGAGCACACGCAGAGGAGCCCTGCTGGATTGCCCTGAGTGTGCGAAGCAAAGGCCTTAGGACCAGTTTGAAGATTTAACCCTCCATCAGTGGGGCTGGAGCGTAAGGATCTGGGGAGAGTGGTGGGCATCAGTATGTGGGGAGGAGCTTTATCATAGGAACTTTTCATTTTATCCCAAGTCCAGTGAGGAGCCATTAAGAGGCAGAAACCCAGAGTCATATTTGGTACATGGTAGGCCTTCAGTCATTTAAAAACAACCAAGACGACTGTATAATTGAAGGTGAATCCTGGCAATACCTAGGAGGAATGTAGATTACTTATGAGGTATTTTTATTCCTATTTCTATTTCTAGGAATCTGAGGCTCAGAGAGGTTAAGTAAAGTTGCCTAAGGGACATAGCTAGTGCTCAGCACATCCGGAATTCAGCTCCAAGTTTTTCTAACTCTTGACCTTTTGCACTTAGCTGAGTTTTAAAAATTTTACTAGTTATCCTAATGTTCATTTTTATTTTTATTTATTTAAAATTTTTTTTTTCTTTATTGATTTTATAGAGAGGAAGGGAAAGGGAGAGAGAGCCAGAAACATTGATGGGTGAGAACATCGACTGGCCACCTCCTGCATGCCCTCCACTGGGGATCTGGCCCACAACCTGGGCATGTGCCCTGACCGGGAATTGAACCGGCGACCTCTTGATGCATGGGTTGGACGCTCAACCCCTGAGCCACACCGACAGGATTGTCCTAATGTTCATTTTTAATATTTGAAGGACATGCTACAAATTAATTAATGCCCCACCCATGTAAAGTGTTTCTAGGTTTTCACTGTTTTGGTTAGCCTTGCAATAAACATGTCTGTTGGCTTGTTTGTGTGTGTGTGTGTGTGTGTGTGTGTGTTTTAAGGTCATTTAACTGTCTAATTTTAGACATAAAATCTCTCTGCAGTGCTGCCTTATTGTCAGCAGGGGGCGGCCCTTGGATTCTAATGTAGTCACCGGCTTGAGGGCACTTGGTCTTACTTAAATCAGAAAGTATTAATAGACTGATGAAAGCTTAGTGTATTTTTACTCTCTTAAGTTTACACAATATATTTATCTGCTTCTGTTAAAAGTAAACATGATGGTAGCTGTTAATAATGTGAATTTGTGGAGTTTTGTTGGCTGAAATGAGACTATTTTATTCATATATTCATTGGACTAGATATGTTCACATACTAACATACTATAAAACTAGTTTGAAACTATGTCAAATTATTTAGAACATTTTTATTTCCTTATAGATTTTAGAGAGGAAGGAAGAGGGAAAGAGAGATAGAAACATCGATGAGAGAGAACATCAATTGGCCACCTCCTGCATGGTCCCCACTGGGGATTTGGCCCACAACCTGGGCACGTGCCCTGACCAGGAACTGAACCGGCAACCTCTTGGTACATGGGTTGATGCTCAACCACTGAGCCACACCGGCAGTGCAAACTATGTTAAGTTGTTTTTAGGGTAGCATAACACATGTATGCTAAGAGTTTTTCAGCCTGAATATGTTTCTATGATATCTTTCTTCCCAAATATATTGAGAAATAAACCCAGTGAATACAAGTGTTAGCTCTACAGAATGTTATCTTTTTAATATGGTTGGAGGGGGGGAAATCAAAGAACAAGTTAACCTCATATTGAAATTCTTTGCTCTTGTTTCCTTTCCAGGATTCTTGAACAAGAGGAGCACTTTACGGGAGGAGAGGATGATCTCCTTGGGCCTGGGTATACAGAGGACTCCACTGATGTGTATAGCTCCCAGTTTGAAACCATTTTGGACAATACTTCTTTATACTACAGTGCTGAGTCCTTGGAGACATTATACTCAGAACCCGATAGCTATTTTAGCTTTGAAATGCCCCTCACTCCCATGATACAGCAGCGCATTAAAGAAGGCAATCAGTTCCTGGAGAGGACATCAGTAGGGGGACAGCAAGACATCCTGAGCGTCTCAGCAGATGGCGGAATAGTGATGGGCCGTTCTAGCGGGATCACCAATGGGCTCAATGGTGCTGGGGACTCCGTCTACGCAAAAGGCACCCCGGAGATTGCCTTCTGGGGAAGGTACTAGTCCCCTTCTCATTAATTTCATGCTGGTGGTTTCACTGCATTTTCTCTTTGGGAAATGTGAGTGTGGAATATATCTGAAAAGCATTTGGCCAGTTTCTATGGATATAAGTGAATGATGTGAGTAAAATGTAATTTGGGTTTTAGGGGCAGGTAAAGTACCCTTTCATGGTTTGCCAAATTGGCAAGCTGTGATCACTCTGTTTGGTGGTGTTTCTTGCATGACCGTGTATAAACTGGTTACACATCTGCACACATCTGTGAGCAACGATGCAGCTTTGGTGGCAGTGGCATGGTGCTGTGGAGGGACACTGAGTGGCCTCCGCTTTCGTTCCGACGCTCACAGTTGTTGATGACTTGAAGCAGGTTGTTTGATTAGACCAGAAATGCCTTCGTTGTAAACTGAGGGTGCGGATTAGAGGTTACAGAGTTTCTTGTGGCCCTTTGCTCTCTAAGGTCTGTTCAGGCAGTCTTCATTCCTGGAGTGGCTGCAGAAGCGTCTGATTACGTGGGTGCTCGATAGAGCTGGTGCCTTGGTCAAAGTAAACCTATGCAGGTTTATTCTCTCTCTGTATTAGGATCTGTCTACCTGGGCCCTAAAATAACAAAGTGTATAGGTTAGATGTGCCTTACCTGTCATTTAGTGACCCCTATTTATGGACTGTTGAGCATTTCATTTGCCCTTGCTCATCATCCTCGGTCATTTACCTGTCCTCTAACATCCCCATTAGTGGGCAGCGCGTGCTAAACTTCTTAAAGATTTTATGAATTTAGTTTTGATACACTTTTCCTTAAAGTGTGTTGGTGGAGGTGGCAGGCAGGGAGGTTAAATGGGGATAAACTGTTTTAAAGCTGTATGACAAAAATGTCAGTGCTTTTTTTTAAAGACAGTATTTATAGTGCAGTTTTCCAAGGAACCTCTTTTTATGAGAAGTTCATCCTATATTAAGCGTTTTCTATAACCAGTTTTTTGATAGGGTCATAGTTTGTTGGAGGAGCATGTTCAGGATTGGGACATTATAACTTTGTAGATGTGCATTTCCATGGGAAATGGATCGTGGATGTTGGTTGTCTTCTTGGGTCACAGACATAATGAAAAGAGCACAGGTTTCAAAGTCAGAAGAGCTTAGTTTGAATTCCTCGAGCAAGCCATTTCTTCTCTCTGAAACCTGCTTTATGTATTTGCAAAATAGGGTTAGTGATCCCCACTGCGCTGTGTGACTGTGAGATTTAAAGAGCTAATCTAGATTAAAGTACCCAGCAGAGTGCCTGGTACACAGTAAGAGCTCGAGTAAATGTGTGACCGGCATTGGATGGCTCCCCGTATCTCTGAGAGGGAGGGTGTCTCTGAGGCAGGTCCCCGAGAGGGGGCATCCCTGAGTGGAGGGTGCCGCTTTAGTCCTCTACCGTCATCTCTGGTAACTGTAAATTGTGATAAAATGTGATAGCACAGCTAATGCAGACATTTTCATTGAAATTCCAATCTAACTTTCTGGGGTGAGTGCAATTGTTTCTGTTACAGACCCAAAATAAGTTGGAGAGCTGAGCATTTGGGGCTGACAGGCTTACTGCAGAAGCCACAGGGAGGATAAGTAAATAAAGACCAGATGAACATCACTGAGTCAGACCAGGAAGGACTTGGGTGAAAGATGTATCTAAGGTGTGGTCTGCTCCCATAGAATAGGAAGTCGTCATCCCTGGGGCGGGGCTTTAGCGCCCATCACTAGTACGGCAGAGCTAGAGTGAAGAGGGAGTATTGGGGTGCGTTAGAGTGTGTTGGCACCTCAGATTGGACAGTGGTGTGCTTCAGCCTTCTTGAGATAAGGTTTCAGCTGCGTCACCCGCATTGTCGAGCCATGAGATCTTACACAACGATAAGACTGAACTCTAATACTGAGCGAGAAGCACGTTAGAAACGAGCCAGCCGAACTTCTCACCCGGCTCTGGGCACTTTTCCACGTGTATGTGTCATGTCTCTGTTTAGAGTTAAAAACAGATAGGGCAGTCTCAGTGATCCTAAGAACTCTGAAAGAAACTGGTGTAACTTGCATATTTTTTACCCCCTCTCCCCTCCTCTTGGTGCCCTGGAGAAGTTGCAGCACCTGAGAAATTGCAGGTTGAAGAATCATGACATTTTCAGCTTGAAGTGGGGCCTTAGGTAGCCTTACTGTACAGTCAGGAATCTGAGTCCATTTGGAGGGGTGGATTTACCTGGTGACAGAGCCTGTACAGAGTTCAAATGGCCTGACTCCTAGACCAGGTACACTCACTATTCCAGGCTGCCTGGTCTCATCTGTGTTCTTTCTTTTGATCTAATCTCTCTCAGTGCTGTGTGTCTGAGCCAGAAGTCTGAGTTGGTGATTGTAGAGCTGCTTGGTGGTGGTGGTATGTTTTCAGTTGGAGAAAAAATTTACCAAATGGCTAATAAACATGCCTCTATAAATTTTAAAGTAATCAATGAGCAGGCTTTTAAAATTCTTCCGCAGAGGTAAGGAAGTAGACACAGAGGTATCGAGCCTATTAAGGGAATCCAGACTGGAACGCTGACTGCACAGCGGTCAACACGACCGACTTCCCTCAGCCGAGACTCAGCGCTAAAGTGGTGGGAGTCCAGGAAAACAGAGATTTTTCAAATGTATTAATAAATGTGACATTTACACAAGAAAAATGATAAATAAAACGAGCACACATACCGAGCGTTCCATATCTGTTCACCAGTGCTTCCTGTTTTCTTGACAGTGGACGGGCTGGGGGAGGGGGTCCTGACTGTACTGGGTAAAGTGGACTCTGAGGAAGGCCAAAAGGAAGGGGATGAAAACTGTTTCCCTGATAATGCTTCTGTGATTCTAGCTAGACATCCAAGAAAATTAATGCTCGTTGACAGCCAGTAGAAAAAGTTAAAAGATTACTTTAGGTAGTCTCTAAACAGTTTTACATCATATGCATCCCATAGGTTTTATTATGTAGTAAATACATGGTGCTTAATTCTCATAATAAACTGGGAGAAAGGAACTATTAATGTCCTCATTTTCCAGATAAGGAAGCTGAGGCACAGAGCAGTCGACTAACTTGCTCAGAGTCACACAGATAGTAAGTGACTAAGTGATATACCCAGGATTTGAACCCAGTCAGGCTCCCAATACATTTTTGGTTTCAAAACAAAAATATATTTGTTTGTTATTGCCTGTGTATATTTTTTAACCCTTCTTTGTTTCGATGTGTGCCTTTGGTTAGTCGTTGTAGATTATTTCAGTGGCAGTATGTGACTGATTTCTTTTGAACTCAGGATGATGCTTCTCCATTGCTCTTCTTTACAGAAAGGTCGAGTGGTTGGGAAAGGTGATGGGGATGTTGTGGTACCTGAGCAAATCCAGCTCCGCCCTCAGGAACACCTTCCCATCTGGGAGTGAGCCATGCTTTGCCTGCTAGAGGGGGATTGTTCTTCCCTGTTTTTTTGTCCCCTTAAATCAGTGGTTCTCAACCTTCCTAATTCCACGACCCTTTAATACAGTTCCTCATGTTGTGGTGACCCCCAACCATAAAATTATTTTTGTTGCTACTTCATAACTGTAATTTAGCTACTGTTATGAATCTCCATCAGAAATATGTGTTTTCTGATGGTCTTAGGCGACCCCTGTGAAAGGGTTGTTCGACCCCAAAGGGATTGCGACCCACAGGTTGAGAACCGTTGACTTAAAGAAAGAAATAATTCAAATCTGTGTATTCTTGTATTAGGTTAGAAAGGACATTTTAAAAGAGTATGTGTGCTTACTGTTTGTTGTTTAAATGGTTATATATCTTTGTGGTACCAAATAGATCACTCTTTATAAGGTGAAAAGTCTTTTAAGGTCCTGGAGTAAATCTAGGAGTTAAATTCTCAGGTGCTCTGAGTGCTCTGCATGCTGAGCATTAACCAGGGAGCCGCATGTCAGTCAGGAAATAGCTCGCCCTGCGAATGTAACCCAATATTTTAACCAAGGAGCAGAGTAGCATTCCCTCCCTTTGTGGTCCAGCCACAGAGCAACGCAGGCTGGTGGGTCAGCGGTGCTGTGTGAAGTCCAGTCACATGGCTCCAAAATTAGAAAGGATAATTAGAGACTTACAGTAATACATGACCCAATGGGCTCCTTTGTGTCTGGGTGCTTCTCCCTCTCCGGCCCATCAGCTGATGACTGCAACTCCAATCAGTAAGTTCTGACCTGGAGACGATAAGGCACAAATGTTGTCATTGTGACCATTAGCACAGCTGAGTATTGTCCATTTCTGTTGAGCTTAGGTTTGGACAGACAGAAAAAGAGAGCAAATACAGTACTGTGGCAGGAGCTTCTGTTTTGATTCTCTGAAATATATAAAACTCCTTTTTAAAATTACCTTTTTAGTGGAATAGATAGATTTTCTGTCTCAGCTTCCGAGCTTTTCTTTCAGATGTGGGTCAGGATACCGAGTACTCAGGGTAAGGAGTAGAGCAGAGCAGGTGAATTGCATCTGTGTGCCACCGACATGCCTGAGGAGCCTGCTCCAGCAGGACGGGCTCCAGTCCGCTCTGAACTTGATAGTTGTGGTTTGGTGCCTTCCTCTTGTTTTTTTTTTCCCTTTTCTTAGATGGAATACTGGTATTTAGAAGTATCCTCTTTCTTTCTCAGCTAGTCTCTCTTTAGTATCTTTCTATCTAGGAAAAAAGTCACATGAAACAAAATTAATACAGAAATCTGTTGACATGGAATTTCAAAAAAAATTTTTTGACATCTCAAGTTAAAATCTGCAGGCATTTTACCAGAATGTGACAATACTAAAATAATGTGATGTGAGTTAAGCTGGTGACAGAGGAACTGATCTTGATCTTGTGAAACTGTCTTTAGAGACCTGGCAGACCCCGGAGCTCCCGGGTCCTCGCACTCAGGTTCACTGCTGCGTTGCTGCCGCTGTCCTCCTCTTTAGTCTTTTTCTTTTACATCGTGAAACGTGTCCTGTAGAAAATAGGTTCTCAATCTTCTCTTTCTAGCTTCTTGAAGCAGTTGCAATGGTGGGGTTTTTGTTTGTTTGTTTGTTTGTTTTTGCCATAATGGATGTTTGTTTTTGCTCAGGGGTGAGGGGTAGGGGCTCCCCTAGGTTTAAGAGCCAGTCATATCTGCGTTAGAATCCTGCCTCCATTACTTACTGGGTGTGGAACCTTTCCCAGTGTAACCTATGTGGTATAGGAGGGAGACGCAGATGGGATTATAATTAAGTGAAAAAAATCAAGAAAAGAAGATCAAGTGGCTTAACAAGGCCTGGTACATAGTAGGAGAGAAATAAATGAAATTAATCATAGTCCCAACAACAGCAGCGCCTGAGAGCAGTCCCAGTGCCTTGTATTCAAGGCCCGTAGCAGCCTCTGCGCTGCCAGCACCGGTCTGCAGGCTCTAAGCTCCTCGGAAACACCTACTGCTGGGCTTTCTGAGCTAGCACTTTGAGTGAGTGCAGTGCACTGGTGGGGTGGCAGGAGTGCGGGGCTTGGCATCAGACAACAGGAAGTCAAGTCACCCTTTTGGCTGCCTGATTTGGAATAGGCTGCTTCACTTCAGGGAGCCTCTGATTCCTTACTGGTAAGGTGGAGATAACCTACCACCCAATTGAAGGTTTATAAGAATTTGCTAAGTTTGTGGATATTCATTTTAGACCTATCATGAGTTTCACAGTAGTCTGAATAGCAGGCATATAAGAAAACAGATTTTAAAAAAGCCTGGCAAAGATGAAGAACCAGAAGGATTTGGTAGATGTTTGAAATGCAGGACATGCGGGCTGAGTCAAATGACGGTGAGATTTCAAGCCTGGGTGACATGAAATCAAGCAAGGATCAGCAGAAGTTGGGGAGAGCAGAGGGTTTGCAGGACAGCGCCTACTAGTGAGGGCAGTTGGAACAGTGAAATCTGAGGAGAGCAAGGGTCCTTCTTGTGCAAATGCTAGTGAGAGTGTGGGATTGGAGTTCAGCAGCTGGAGAGACTTGGGAGGCCCCAGGTAGAGGTGAGGCTTCAGCTGTGGCTAGCAGTGAGCTTGGAGGGTTAGGAGCGCGCTGAGGCCCGAGGCCAGGCTGCAGGGGTGCACATGCAGGAGCGCTTGGGTGCTGCTTGCCTGTTTCCATTTCTGTCTTCGTAGAAAATGTGCTCTGCAAGGTGAGTTTCCTGGCAGCTCTGCTGTGCTAGCCTCCCTTCGCTGGCACAAGCTTGGTTGTCATGGAGCACAGCGTGGAAGTAAGTGCTCTGATCATTGCTGTTCCCTGGCTTCCTCTCAGGCGGGCCTGGCCCTGGCTCTGGTGGTTTGGGGCTCTCCCTGTTTATTGGATGCCTCTCCTTTAAATTGGGGATGATGTCAGGAAATGGTCCTGGATTGGAACTAGGTTTTCCAGAAACAATCTGATTCTGTAGTTCAAACTTTAAAACAAACATAGTGATGCCCTTCATATTGGTGGTTATTGGTGTGGAGAGTGCTGTGGGTGCTGGTTAAGTGGACGATCTTTTAGCAAAGCACGTATTAAAAGGCCTCAAATGATTAAGGACATTGGTATTATAAGGTGAATCATAGCTCTAAATAAAAACTGGATTGGCAGTAAATATTTGAACTGGCCAGGGTGATACAGCAATCTTTTTTTTTTCATATATCAGGACAATATTTACCTTGTGAAGAAAGCAATCACATTTCCTCTCAGCAAAGGTCATTTAACATAGGATTTACAACGCTGGATGAGCAGGTTATCCATTGACCCATGGTTTGGGGCAGGAAAAAGGAGACCTTCTCCAAATAAATAGTTCTTTGAAGGTGTTTTACAGAGAAATAACAGTTTGTCAGAACCCAAAGTGGATACATTTCCGGTGTGTTTTGTTTTGTTTTTTATCCTCATCCGAGGACATTTTTCCGTTTTTTTGCTCAGATAGAGAGGGAGGGAGAGAGGAAGAGAGAGAGAGAGAGAAAGAGAGAGAGAGAGAGAAAGAGGTGAAAGGGACACATTGAGTGGCTGCCTCCCGCACGACCCAACCAGGGCCAGGGACAAACCACAACTGAGGTATGTGCCCTTAGCGGGAACCAAACCCAGGTCTCTCTGGACCACAGGCCGATGCTCTAATCGCTGAGCCAAACTGGCCAGGGCCATTTCTGGTGTTTTAATCTTCCTTTTTTTTTTTTTCCCTCCTATGGATCTTATAAGCTTTCTATTCACTGAAATAAATAGTCTATATTAAATTGGCTCAAGCTCCTAAGAGAGCCTTAATATTCAGTACCTGAGTGACCATGGTGCAAGGTAAGTTGAATATAATCTTTCTCATGAATGCTAATGAGGATTAATATTAAACTCCATCTAAACCAATGTTAGGTAAGTACTTTGACTTCATAATCTCCACACCTCATACACTATTTTATACGCTTGTGCCTGAATCTTAATTCCCAGGTATCTACTAGTCTCTGAATCTGGAATTACTTAAGGAAAGCCATATAAATCACACATATTGATCTTCTGAGATTTTTCCCCCCATTGATTTTTAGAGAGTGGAAGGGAGAGAAGGGGGGAGAGAGGGAAAAAACGATGTGAGAGAGACACATTGCGTGGTTGCCTCCTGCACACACCCCGCCTGGGGCCAGGGATGGAATCTGCAACCCAGCTATGTGCCCTTGACGGGGAATTGAACCCACGACCCTTCAGTTTGTGGGCTGATGCTCTAACCACTGAACAACACTGGCCAGGGCACTTCTGAGATTTTTAATCTTTCCACTCACCGTCTTGCTACCCAGCAGCCTTAACTCGGGAGCTTATTAGAAGGGCAGAATCTCAGACCCCACCCAACCAACTAAATTAGAATCAGCATTTTAAGAATATATCCAGACAGTTTACATACAGCGAATTTGAGAAGCACTGGTCTAGAAGAACAGAGGTCCACAGACCAGATCCAAAGTACACAAGCCTAGAACAGGGTTCTCTGACTTGACTGCACGTTAGAGGTATGTGGGGAGCTTTCTGAAATTCTGACTCCCTGGACTCCCCCCCACCCCCCGGAGAGTCTAATTTATTGGTCTGTGGTGGCACCCATGTAGTGATAGCTTTAAAGCTTCCCAGGTGATTCTTATGTTCAGCCCAGGTTGTCAACCTCTCATCCTGGAGCTTGTTAGAAATGTATAACAGACTCACCGCTGACCTACTTTCTCAAAATGTGTATTTTTCCCTGGCTGGTTTGGCTCATAGGTTGGAGTATCAGCCCATGTACCAGAGAGTCTCAGGTTTGATTCTGGTCAAGGGCATGTGCCTCAGTTGCAGTTTGTCCCTGGCTCTGGTTGGGGTCATGCAGGAGGCAACCAATCGGTGTGTCTCTCGCATCGGTGTTTCTCTCTCTCTCTCTCTCTCTCTCTCTCTCTCTCTCTCTCTCTCTCTATATATATATATATATATATATACTCCTCCCTCCCACTCTATCTGAAAATAAATAGAAACATGTCCTCAGATGAGGATTTTATTTTTATTTATTTATTTTTGTTTTTTTGTTTTTGTTTGTTTTATCCTCACCCGAGGACATTTTTCGATATTTTGTTCAGAAAGAGTGGGAGGGAGGGAGAGAGAGAGAGAGAGAGAGAGAGAGAGAGAGAGAGAGAAACATCGACGTGAAAGCGACACACCGAGTGGTTGCCACCCACACGACCCAACCAGGGCTGGAGACAAACTGCAACCAAGGTACGTGCCCTTAGCGAGAACCGAACCCGGGTCTCTCTGGACTGCAGGCCGACGCTCTAACCGCTGAGCCAAACCGGCCAGGGCGGATTTTTAAAAAATATGTATATTTCAACAAAATCCCAGGTGACTCATCACTGTAAAGTTTGAGAAGCACTGGAAACTGATTAGATGCAGAATTCAAAGCTGAGTAAGGCAGGTCTACTTTCAGGGAGCAGGCCTGTTACAGGTCTCTGTGCTAGTGTAAGGGAGAAATCTCCTAAAGGTTTATAAAAGTGAGTAGCCCTGGATGTGAGCTTCAGCATGGTTTCTGTGTCATGTCTGGTGTGGTGATCACAGGGTGCCCATCCCTGCTAGGAAACATCATTTCCTAGTGAGGAAGTCAGACTGCTTTGGTTCAACTTTTGGAGAATTATCTTTCTAAACCTCAACATCCTTATCTGGGAAGAAGGATAGTAATTTACTGCCACTTGATGGTTACTCAAAAAAAGTTGGCTGTTATTATTAGTAAAGCATTGCTTGAACTATTGTCTTCAAAATTTTTTCAGCCTAGCTGGTGTGGCTCAGCCGTTGAGCATCAACCCATGCACCAAGAGGTCGTCAGTTTGATTCTCAGTCAGGGCACATGCCCAGGTTGTGGGCCAAATCCCCAGTGGGGGCATGCAGGAGGTGGCCAATCAGTGTTCTCTCTCATCGATGTTTCTATCTCTCTCTCTCCTTCTCCCTTCCTCTCTCTCTAAAACCAATAAAGAAAAAATAAAATAAAATAAAAACTTTTTTAAAGTCACCTGGTATGAAAGCTGTGGTCACATTGACTTAGGATATTGTATATCTGCAATAATAATTCTAAGAGCCTTAGGTTACTTGAAGGTGAGGCGATTTAATGATAGTTTGTTTTATTGTGTTTATAATTACTCTATTTAGCAGCTCCTCAACACAAGGAAGCTGACATTTTCTAGTTCAGAGTGGCAATATAAGGTCTTTAGTATAGAGAAAATAAGAGGTATTGAATAATTATTATTGTGAAACAAAATCATAAAAGTTCATTATTCACACCCAGCATTCATTTAACAACCTCTTTAGGATACAGCATATAATATTATACTTGGTCAGGTATGGGCCTGTCCCCCTGTTAGGCAGTGAACTACTCAAGTCTTTAGTCTGGAGACTTAGAGAGCCTATTTCACGGTCCAGCACATACTGGACACTCAGTTTTAGTTGAGTGAAGAACTTAATTAGCAGCTGCATTATACAAGGTACAGGGTGTCTCCCAGAGAGGAGGCAGATAAGATAACTTCAGAAATAACTCTGGTTCAGGGCCTCGAGAGCCAGCCAGCGAGGCTCCCAGGCTGGGGCTGGTTAGCACGGGGGCCATGGAGGCCCTCTTGGGAGTGATGCTTTTTGCAGAGAGGCAGTGGGCTTGGAAGGATGAGGTGGACACGTGTAAATGGCTGTGGGGTAGGTAGGTGGGGCAGGGTGACTTTCCAGAGGGAACCAAACTGAGGCAGAAATATTAACAGCTGCTTGGATTTGGCAACTTGAGAGTTGGGAGTTGAGGGGATTGTTAACCTCTTGCCGCCTGTTCTGTTGACCTGCTGGACCGAACATATGCAGCTATTCTCAAAAAGGTAGCCTGATGCAGTTGCCGTTTGACAACTCCTGAAACATTCTGGGCATACCAAAACCTGTGACCTGTGACCTCACCAGCCAGGTTCAGAAATAAAACATGGGTGAATTGCAAACTCCCGTGGATGGCTCCCTGGTCCCATTCCTCTTTCTTTCCCCAAAGGTAACCATTGCCTGTGGGGGTTTATTATTCCTGTGGCATCCACAAACAATATACAGGGCTCCTTCACACATTTTTAACTACATGTAAGTGCTATCTTGTTTCCTTTTGTAACTTGCTTGTTTTTGCTCGACATTTCAAACTCATTGATTCATAAAGGCCCTATTTATTAATTTCTTTGCTGTACAGAATTCATTCAATGAATATATGCTATAACTTACCTATTTGTGACTAGTTCGACTGTCTTGTGTTTTTGTTATCTCAAACGGCATGGCAGTAAATATTCTAATTCATGGCTCCTTTGCACATGTGGGAGAGTTTCTCTAGGCTAGGTATATATTTAGGAATAAAATTGCTGGACTGTAAGTTATAATCATTTTCTCGGTGAACCAAGGCATTGTTGAAAGGGCATATTACATTTTCTTTGAGAGTATGTAATTTTATCTACTCTGTCTATAAAGTAATTTTTAGTTATTTTACCTCCTGATCTTATGATTCCCCTATCCCAACAAAAATAGCAGGAGCCCAAAGAAAAACCTGGGAAGGAAAAGGAAATGAGAGGGCTCCTTTCCCTGTGGGGCACTGCTGCGGTCTCTGGTATCCATTGGTTGGGTCTGGCGGCTGTCCTGTCCATCAGATCCCTCAGCTCCTAGTTCCAGACCCTCAGCCGGGCTGTGGCAGTTGCTGCCTGTCTGACAGCTGTGTCTGTTGCCTGTCCACTTCTGCTTGTCTGAAACAGGACTGAACAGCAGGACACTTGAATATTTCACATCAACAATAGCAGAAAACAGGCACAAAACTGGAAATGGAAGTTGAAAAACAAATCACAAAAGATTAAGTGTGAATTTAACACAGTTGAATTTTCTATAATTTAAATGAATTAGATAAATTTTGTTGCCTATTTTAGTCATTCTTTTAGGGCCAGGAATGTGTGTACTATAGGAAATTATGGTCTTTAAAAATAGTACTTCAAAAACCTTAGAGCTATAAAAGAAAATGCTGAATTGACTCTTTTTTTAACGGCGTTGGCTAAACGTCTGTTTCTCCCATAAGCAGCAAGGCTCTAAATAAACTAAGACGGTTGTCCTTTCTCCCTGTTGTCAGCTTGCTGCCCGGCTTCCAAAGAGTTAAGCTGGAGGTTTGTGAGGTCATGTGTGACCTCACTGGATCTGGACTTTTGAAGCAGATCTCTTGGAGGGAAGCTGCCTATTGAGAGGCGAGGCGAGGCGAGGCTGGGCAGAGGGGAAAGCACTTCAACTTTTCTCAGTCCTTACTCCTCGGCCCCGAGGGAGATAGTGGCATTCTGGGAGCTTGTCACTGCAGAGCCCATGTGCAGCAGTGTGCACGCAGAGCCGAAGCAGCTGTGCAAGCCCACGAGAAGGGCCCTTGCAGGCGATGAAGGCTTGCTGAGCAGATGGACCGACCGGGAGAATGCTCTTTGTACCTCTGACAAAATTATGGGCCCACTGTTTGCTGATGGAGGTAACTGGAACTCAAGTTTATTTTCTTTGTTTGGTCCTAGGCAGTGCTGGATTATATATGATGGCAGTTATAGAAAATGCCTTGGATGTTAAGCTGTTTTATTTCAAATTAAAAACTTTGTAAGAGAGTCTTAGAAACTTAGGAGAATGATCATTCACATAGATTGTTTGCTAAATAAGATTGACAAAAATGAAGAGAGTGTCTTTGTTACCGGTTACTGGTTTCTGTGTTTGGTCCAGATGAGACTTCCCCCTGCACAGACTTGTGCTGTCTTTGAGGCAGGCAGACGTAGCCTGGTGCTCCTAGACTGGTACACTTTCAGCTACCTTTTGTGAAACTTGTTTCAGGCATTGGAAGGTCACCAATTTGAGCTGGTGTTTCGGCGGGGTCCATTCTGACTATGGCACAAGGCTGTCATTCTTATTTCAGTGTATCACTGCTCTTAAGGGACCGTGCTGTCGGGACAGAAACATGATTTGTCTTAGAATTCGGCATTAGGTTTGAAACTTCAAAGGCTAACCAGTCATCAAAAGAAACAAGACGCAGGGGTTGTTTTGTTCTTGGAGTGGAGGGAATTTCAGCTGCACAGTTCATCTCTGGGAGGTCTCTCTCCTTTTTCATGTTCAGCAGGTAGAGACAGGTGCAAGACCCGAGTAAGGCCAGTGATGGTAAAGGAGGAGCTCCGGCCCAGTGTGCAGACATTACGTCCATTGTTGAGGTGCTTGGAGTTAAATGACTTACGAACACCCAAGAGCCCATGAGAACCCCAGTGCCAGCATGTCCAGGGTAGTCAGCTGGTTATAGCGGGTGTGTTTGTGGGTATGTATTGGTTAAGATGGTATTTCTTGCCTTGATTACAGAGTTTCAGTTCATAATTTAAGTTCATATTTCCAGTGTTTTATAACATCATTTGTCTCACGTAGCCTATCAGTATAAAGTTTTTGCCACTTTCTAACTGGCCATTTTGGTTCATAGCTTTAATAATAAAGAACAAGAGAGCTTGAGAAAAAGAATGTGAAACATTTTGTGAGAGGCATAAGGCATAGTGGTTATGAGCTTAGACTTCGCGTGTCAGACCCATTGGTTTAAGTTTTACCCCTCTGCTCCTTACAGTTTGACCTCGAGTAAGTTACTTGGTTACTCCTGCTCGGTTTCTTCACATGTAAAGTAGAGATGCTAATATGAGGGGTCTGTGGTGCGAGGATTAACTGAGGCGCCACGTGTTGGAAGCATTTAGCAAAATTTCTCCCACATTAATAAAGCTCAATAAATATTAATAAACCCTGGCTACTATTATGTTTAAATTGTTCTTTCTAATGTGAGGAAGACTTAGACCTTGGAGAAAGGTGGTCACGAATCTGGAGTTGCGGCTATGCTCACACAGTAAACATGTCAGGGCTTCTTTGTGGCAGGGTTCCAGGTGGCACCTTTATAGTACCTTGTACCCCAAAGGGTTCCCCTCTTTCTAACCATCAGTCATCTCTCAAATGTAGCCTTTGATGGCAAGGAATGCCAAGAGGGCAAAGGGGTGGATTAGTGAAAATCCATCAACACTTTGTGGGAACATCTCTGGGCTTCTGTCCTGCCCTGTCAGTAATGTGTTGGTTTCCTCCTCTTTGACTGTGGAGAATGCCATTGCAACACTTGTATCTCATCGATGGCTGTGCCCCACACTGGGAATACGAGCAAAACGATTGCCAGAAGTAGGTGGTTCTGCGTTCTTTCCACTGGTGCAGAGAGCCCTCTGCCATGCTGTGGTGGCTGCTCTTGGAGGGTTTATCTGTGTTTCTAGCTGGGCAATTCTGTTCCAGGAGTTAGTTGCGGTACACCTGTGTGAAGCTCCTTGGCTCCTAGCTCTGGACTGTAGCTTGTGGACAGTATCTTTTCTCCATGGTTATTGAGCAGGTGAAATACGTGAAAATGCCTGGCACAGAGTAAGTACTAAGTACTAACAAACCTTCCTCCTCCCAGAATTGCTCCATTTCTTCTATTACTGTGAAGATAAAACGTATACAATTTGTAAATGAGTCTCTCCCTGTTTTGCTTTATAAAAGTCTCAGTGTTTCTAAGGCTTTTAATTTAAAATATTTTGCTTGTGTTATTAGTTGACTTCATCTAGTGTCAGTTTTTCTGTTTGCCTCCATGACTTCCCAGTGCAATCTGTAATCCTTAAAGCTTTCAAATTTAAATTTGATGTCTCTTTGGTGTCCCTTCCTAGAAAGAACCTCCTGATGGTTCCCATTATGTCTTTGCACGGCGTGGGTCTGTGCAGCTCATTGGGAACTGCTTCTAAATGACTTTCCTGGTGCAGAAGGACAGGTGTGGCTTGGAAAGGGCCGTGAGCTTTGCCAGCTCCGGTATGGCTGGGTCCCCCTCCAGTTCCCCAGCATCATGTTTGCAAGGTTCAGGAGGGAAGGTTCGGGAACTCCCTTGAAGGGATCTGCCAGCATGGCTGGGTGTCACCGAGAACTGAAGCACTTCACAGGTCCTGCTCTAGCCACACTGCTGTGGTTCCTGGGATCAGGCCAGAGCCATGCAGGACAGCGAGGCACAGGGTTCTGTCAGCCCCCGGGGCTGAACCTGCTCTGTAAATGCTCAGTCCTCAGATTCTGGGGAGGCAGAGCCTCTGTGGTGTTCCAGCCAGGAATGTAGTCATTGTTTTGCTGGCCTGAGGGCGTGGCTCAGTCAGCCTGGTCTACTGTTGTGTTTGGCTCTCGGTCATTAATAACCCTGGCGCGTAGGAGAAGGTGCACTGAGTGAACGGGTAGTTGGAAGACGCGGGCTCAGCTTCCAGCCTTGCTGTTTACCGGCTGCGAGCTTGCGAAAGGCCCCTTTGGTCCTCAGTTTCTTTACTTGGAAAACAGGACCATTGTGAGGGTGAAATAAAATGAATATACAAAAAGACCGAACTCATAGATACAGACTGGGGGAGGGGGTGAGGGGAGGATGACAAAAGAGGGTCAAAGACAAGGTGACAGAAGGAGAATAATGGACTTTGGGTGGTAAGCACACAGTATACAACCTTTTTATTATAAAGTTGTACAGCTGCAATTTACGTAATGTTTTAACCAATGTTACACCAATAAATTTAATAATTATATGTAAATGTTAGACTGCAAGGTGCTCTATGGGTTTTTAAAATTAGTTTTTCTTACAGATCTGGCTTATTCCTCTGAACTGGTTTAGATTGAAGTATCTGTGCTTTGCAGGAGGAGGAACAGCCTGGCTGCCTGATGTTCGGTGTCATTGGACTTTCTCCTACCTCTTTGTGAAGGTCATTTGGCCCCTCTGCTCTTGAATGCTCCTGGCATGCCTGCAGCCTGTATTCAGAAGGGAGGAGGGCAATATAATTCCTGTGCTCAGAAGGTTCTCCACTCCCTTTTGTTGATTCAGCTGGTCCTTTATTGAGGCTCAGCTTTTGAGCAAGGGAAGCACTGAGGACTGAAGCCCTGAGCCACCCCCATGGACCCAACTCTGCTACTGATTGTGGGACCTAGGATCCCTCAGTTTCCTCATCTGTACAACAGAGGGTTTGGACTAAAGACCTTTTTGTATGTGGGGTAGAGATGGCGACTTCTTTGTCTGTCTTCTTTCTATCTTGCTATATCCATCATCTTATTGACCAGGTTCTCCTTTCCCCTTTTAAACAACTTAGGACAGTTGTCTTAAAAAAATAAGACAAGTGCATAATGAGGTTGAATATCAAGTTGAGGGATGCTGTGTTGACTTCTGAGACCCAGATATAATGAAAACCTTTTAAGGGAAACAGGTATTAAAGGTTAGTATCAAATTGTTCTACCTACAATCTACTGACTTTGCCATTGCCTTGTTTTATAATCATCCCTAACTAATCATCTTTGATCAGGGTCATGTCGCAACTCTGTTATGGGAGCTGTGAGTACCTGAAAGGAGAAAGAAGAGGATGCCATGGCAACTGAGAGCCGAAATGGAGATGGCATCCTGAGAAGAAATGGAGAATGAATCATCTTTTAGATGGAGGCAGTAATCCCTTCAGGGCAGAGGCAGGGGCTCTTGCCAGGCTGTGTGGGAGATGTTTGCATTGTTGTGGTTTGGTTCTCAGTACCATTCATCCATCCTGGTTTCCTACGTTCGCTTTATCTAAATCGTGTTGAATAGAGGAACACATCTGTCTTGGGTGGACATTTTCCTCTGGCTTTCCCAGGTTAGACTGCATTTCTAGATGACAGAATGATAGGGAAACATTTGTATTTCTTCCGTAGTTTGCTGCTGAAAGATAAACAAAAAGACAGTTAAAAACTATCTCTGCAGCTTGCCAATCAGAAGGCTCAGGACTGGCCTGAATTGTGGGAGACAGTCTCTGGCTGCTGGAACTTGTGTGTGTAGTGAGTAACTTGGGGGACTCCTCAGCTGGGACAGCTGTTAGAGCCCCACAGAAGATGTCCTTTCCATTGAAACAGTTTCACCTACAGAACTGCAAGACTCGTGGCTTCAGAGGCAGTGGTTGGTAAGAGGAATGTAGATTTGTGTGTGATTGGCTGAATAGCCCAAGTGTGTGACCCTGTGTTGTAGGAGTCATCTCTATTGTGGATCCTTCCAGTAGCCATGTAACTGGAGATTCTTGCTAATTCCAGAGGGTCAGGTCTCAGATATTTGCCTTGCATAAACTTTGAAACAAGTCTATCAATACCTATTAAAATGCCAGGTGTATAAATGCCACTTCAGGATTGTAGGTGGGGATATAGCCAACAAGTTTAGAAGGTAATGAAGAGTAAACCTAATTGACTGCATTTTCTGGCATTTTGGCTTTGGGAAGCTGGCATCTCCTATCCTTGATCAAAACTTTGAATTCACAATGGAAATCACATAGCTGAGCTTTTTCTGCATCTTAAAAATGAGGGAACAAAAAAGTGTATGCCTGAAACACATTCAAAGAATGTCAGTTGTCACATTTTTAATTAACAATAAACTGCCTAATCTGCAGGCATTACCTTCTCTGTTGGGTCCTGGTAAATTTACTGGTCATTCTGGGCTCCCCAGTTGATAAGCAGTATGGATTTCACAACCCAGTCCTCTGAGAGTAACTTCGTTTTGGGGGTGGGGGGAGAAAATTTCTAATAAAATAATTTACTGAGAAATTTAGGTTGAACAAAGCAGGCATCCATCACCACACATACACACACAGAAGGCTATTTCCAAAAACATCACAAGACCGGAGAGAACTCGCAGCACTTACATTTGAGCCAGTCAGTAAGTATTTGAAATGTCAACACTGCTGCATGCAGCTTCTCAGCCGGCCTCACTTGGCTGCCTCAGGGTGGGAGCTGGCCTCCTCCTGAGTCAGCAGGATCTCTTCCTGTGGCACCCAGGTCTTCTTGGGAGGTCTTAGGGCCACACAGCCACAAGGCCAGCTCTGGCAGGAGGCTGAGGGATCCATTTGCTGAAGCTAGGCTGTGGGCCAAGGGTGGAGTTGCCCCACCCAGTATGTGTTATGTATCAAAATCCACCCATGGCTGGCTAGCGTGGAAGTAATATTTATCTTGTGCTGTGCTCCGTTCTATGACACATATCTGCAGACAGCAGTCTGCTGTGACTACACCAATTTGGTTAAAAATGGGATTAGACAGACCTTCTTAAAGAACTGTTAGAGAAAGTGTCATTGTAAAGGAAGCAGCAGGATTTAGGGATTTTCCCTTAAAATAAGCTCTTCTTTCTGTGCTCTGATGCCATTATTTCCACTTGCTTTCTTGGTGGCATGTTTTCTCCTTCCCTGGCCTTTCCTGTCCCATCTTCAGTTATTCAAGTTGTCGTGGATCTTTTCCTTTCCCTGAACATTTAATCGTGCTCATACCCCCACTGTTTCCCCAGTCCACATTCTGTCTTGCTCATACCCCCCGCTGTTTCCCCAGTCCACATTCTGTCTTGCTGCACCTCCGTAGCCACTGATGGACTGGGACTTGGAGTTGTTACGTTGTTGTAGCCGTTGCACATCTAAGGCCAGCGTGACGCTGATGAGCCCAGGGTGCCTCCAGACCCCTCTGCGGACGGTGGATGTATGCAGTGGTCGGGCTCTGCTGATCTGAGTGGTCTCATGTGAAGGTTGTGCTGGGAGTTGGGAGTCCTGGACTCTGGCCCCAGTTCTGTCTATATCTAGATTTTTAACCTCTCTCTGAAGCCTTCATTTACTCATCTGGAAAGTGAGATTAGATTACATAACTCCCAATGTTTATTTCCAACTCCAAAAATCCATTACTTGACTCCATGAAATCATACTCATTCTGGCTCCTTAGATTAGATCTTTGTGACCATTTCAGATCTTCTGTACAAGAACAACTTAAAAAACAGCGAGGAGCTGGTGGAATTGGATCAATAGAGGAACGCCAGAATTTAGCACAGTGCTCCCAGCTTGCCCAGGGATAGGGGGGAGAGCCCGTGCGGGGAGGGAGCCCTTCTCATTCTTTGGCTGTCTTTCGTGGGCTGCTTTACCCAGCTTAACTCTTTGTATTAAGAGTTACGTGGAAGCAGGTTCTGCTCTCCTGGCTACCCTTCCTCAGTCTGAGTTGACTGATGAGAAATACTGACTTTGAGGCCCTGGCTGGTTTGGCTCAGCAGTTACAGCTGGTTTGGCTCAGCAGTTACAGCATCAGCCCGCGGACCAAAGAGTCCCGGGTTCAATTCCGGCCAAGGACATACCTTGGTTGCAGTTCATCCCCGGCCCCAGTTGGGGTCATGCGGGTGGCATCCAATTGATGTCTCACATCGATGTTTCTCTCTCTCTCTCTCCCCCCTCTCTCCCTCCCACTCTATCTGAGAATAAATGTAAAAATATCCTCATGTGAGGATTAAAAAAAAAGAAATGCTTACTTTGAAACCCCAAATGCAGCTCTTCTAGGAAGGTGAGCGTAGAGACAGTAGGAGATGATAATTCCCCTTCTCTTGGTGGAATTAAGTGACTCATGGTTGCATCTTCTCCATCCCTTTTCAGAGGCTGCTCCTTTCTCACTTCAAATCAGAAGTGGGAGCCGCAGCAGCTGAAATGAAACCAAGATGTAGGAGGTAAAAGTCCATGTTATTCTCTCTTGATTCTTGGTTGTCCAGTGTGTAGGCCCTACATGCAGGAGAAAACTCTCCCTTTGGAAGGAGTATGGAGTCAGCAGTCTAGGGTGCGTTACACTGACTCTGTGAATCTGGGCATGTTGCGTACCCACTCTGAGCTGACCTTATCTTTAAAATGAGAGAGTTGGGCTCAGCAACATTTAGGTTTTTTTTCCAGGGCCAACATGCCAGGAACCTGTGTTTTCCCAGTTCATTTGCAAGACCCTGAGAGAGGGCTTCAGTGAGGAGAGAGAGCAGGGCAGGGGTTCTGCTGACACCTGGCACAGAGCCTGTGGCGTCCCGAAGGCGGAGGCGGTCTTCTCACTTTTGTACAACACAAAGTCCAGGTTTCCTCTGAACATCTTAAAAGTGTTCCTTGTGGTCAGTGTACTGATTTTGGCATTTATTTAGCAAGGCGTCAGCAGTCTGAGGCACAACCTACCAGAAACTTCAGTGGCTGGATTTTTCCCAGGGTGGCGGCAGAATTTGAGAGCCAGCTGCACTTTCACAAGGAAAATTGTCTCCCTGCAGGGGAGGCAGAAACTTCTATCCGTCTCCCTCTTTCTGTTTCTTTGGGGATTTCTTCTTCAAAATAACTTCAGAATGTTCGTCATTCCCCAGCCTAACAGCCTATATGAAGTGTCCACTGACATTGGGTTGAGGGACCTCATGGTGCTTTGAACCTTGAGGTGAAGGTCGGCTGGGACCATCAGAGACTCTCCAGAGAGTTATTCACCTTTGCTTGTTGATAATAGTGCCGATCAAAACGTTGGTACTCTCATTGATAAGGTTGAGCACCCGCATTGAATGGCTTCCTGAGAATACTTCCTAGTCACGTGGGGATCTAAAAATCTCCCTTTTCTATCCTTACACCTTTCAGTAGCACAGGGTGACTTTAGAGTTGGCCATTTGTCTTGAGTTTAAGGTACACCCCATCTCAGTGAAGGTACCCCTCTACTCTGGCTGGAGGAGGCTTCTGATGAGGCTCCTCCCACGGACTCACATGAAGGATAGAAATGCAGTGTCCATTGCTACGCTTGCATTTAGTTATCTTGCTGTTGGTCAACAGAGATATAAAAAGGATTTCATTTATATATGTTTCTTTTATTCGAAATAGTAGTTTTCGTATCCTCCTGAGTTGTTTGAGTTTCTGTCTTCTGCCATATCCTAATCGATGTAGCTGTGGGACCTGGGAATCTTCATCTGTGGGTAGCAGGGAGGGAGAGGAGAGAGACAGAGGGCTCAAGCAGCCCCACCTGTGTGCTGGGCATTGCTTCTGGATCCAGAGCACTCTCAGTTTGGAAGCACTTGTCCTAAAACCCTGTCCTGCACCCCAGGAGGGATGAATGAAGAGGGAGTGGCCACCCTGCGTACGTCACTGACTCCGAGACCACAAACAGAACCATGTGTGGGGTGGTGCAGCTGCCAACGGCCCAGGGGCACCTCCTCCAGGAGATTGCAGGGTTCCTGGGCTCACCACTGATGTGACAGCCTCTCTGTCCCCGTCCTCTTCAAGGTAGTATCCGTATCGATGTGGCTAAGCTTCTACAAGTAATGCAATCTCTCAGTGGTAGCAGTAAAATATGCTGTTTACTTTTGAAAACATAGTCTAACTTACTAAATGATATATTTTTATCACATGATTTTTTTCCCCTTTAGAACAGACTTACCCTCCAAGTAAAATTTTATTTAGATAACGAGGATTTAGAAAATCGAGGCCAGTTTGTGAACCCACACGGCACGCTGTGAGCCATGCATGGCTGTGTATTCCTGGATTTGAATGCAAAGAGTTTCCCACCAATTTGGAATGAACTGGTCATTGTAACAAGTTTTGTGTGGAACAGTTGTTTCTGATCCCAACCCTGTAGTGACGTCATTTTTATTATACCCAAAGTCAATGCTGTGCAGACCAGATGATTCTGGAATTTGCTCCATTTTCTCCTGATTCAAGTATTCTGTTGCAAAAGAGCCTTGCTAGTGAGCAGTATCTTTAGAAGTTATTGCTTTTGTGCTTCTAACTTTTCTGGTAGTAAACCTTATTTTTCCATGAAAATGCAGTCCATCTTATTTAAGGTGGAGTGGGGGATGTGGTTGAAATTGCAAACATCCAGAGTGTTCTGTTTTGATTTTCTAGCATCAGACAGTCTTTTCAGTGGGAGTGATTAAATCCCAGTGTGGTTTGGGTTCAAGGTACAGAGCAGTAAGAGCTATAACTGTGGTGGAAAGAGGGAGGCTCATTAGTGTATTTAGCCAAGATCAAGTATACTTAAAGTTGTTTACATACAAGGCCTTGAATTAGAGAGAGGGAATGTATTAGATCGCCTAGGAGTCATTAATAGAATTTTTAAGTTTCTGATGGAAGATGTATGTATCTACTTCAAATTATTTATATGTGCATAGAAAAGAGTAGAGGAGCCCTAGCCGGGTGGCCCAGTTGGTTGGAGCATTGTCCCATGCACCAAAAGGTGGTGGGTTCAATTTCCAGTCAGGGCCCAAACCCAGGTTGCAGGTTCAATCCCCAGTAAGGGCACAGGCAAGCAACTGTTCCGCGTTTCTCAGATCAGTGTTTCTATCTTTGCCTTTCTCACCAATTAAAAAAGTAAAAGAGCCCTGGTCAGTATGGTTCAGCGGTTGAGCGTTGGCCTGCGGACCAGAGAGTCCCGGGTTCGGTTCCCGCTAGGGGCATGTACCAGAAAAAAAAAATGGTAAAAGAATAGGAGAGCAGACTGTAGAGAATTTCACCCTCTTTAGAATTTGCAGAGGACTGAAGAGGGGAACTTTCTATGATACCTTCATTTTTAAAGAATAATTATACAAACGGTTCTAGTTTATTCCTAGGAAGGCACAGCTCTTAGATAATTATGGATAATTTATGTGCTATAGAGGATATTAATGCAAGTCTTCCCATAATCATGTTAAAATCTGTAATCACATCACGCTGAACACGGGTCCTCTTTTAGGGCCAGAACTCTATGCAATGGGTAAGGGCCACGGGTAGGGTTAGGAACTTGGTTCTTTACCAAGGGATATGTCTTCGTAGCCCAACCTGACCACTTCCTGACAGTATTGCCTTGGACAAAAAACCCACCTTCTGTCCTTTCTAAAACAGTCACAGTAATATCTGCTTCCTGGAGGTGTTAGCAGCGCCAGTTGAGATAATACCTATGAAACGCTTAGCACAGTGCCTGGAACCAGCAAGTGCGCAGGAAGTGTCATCTGTCATCACTGTCTTCACTGTTGTCAACGTTACCAGGGAGCTCCGTACACGTGAACATGCCTGTTTCCCCTGCTTTTCTGTTCTTCCCATGAAGCATAAAACCCATATTAGCAACAAGGGACAGTATTACATGCTCATTTCTACTTCCCTGCTATACTGTGTACCTTTCTGGTGCTCTTCGGTCAGGGTCCTAGGTGAGGACTGCATGTGTATGTCAAAGCCATTACTAGAAGAGGAGGAAGAACTGCACAGCCAGGACAGAGTTCTCTGCAGGTGTCTTTCCAGGGAGAAGGAATTTTTTATTGGCTCTTATACTACTTTATTGCACAAAGGTGGAAAAAAGAAAAGAAATTCCAGTAAAGACTGACTTCTTGCTCATATTTTTAGTTGTGGTGATTCTAATTCCTTCTGCAGGAACTGGTCTATCTATAACAACTTTCAGAAGTGGGTCCCTATAGTCCTTCTGATGACTTGATTCTTTAAAAAATTAACAACCACAGCAGAGACACAGACATCTAGAGTGGTTCATCCACCATGGGAAAAACAACATGGAAATAGAATATCTCCCTTTATAAAGGTGAGAAGCATAGGAAAATGTATGTGTCTCTGCTCAGGAAAAGTCCACGCCTGGTCCCACATGCCTGGCGAAGGGAACAGCAGGGGAGGCTTCCCTCTGCACCTGAACAGTGCCAGGCGTCTGCAGTCATGCGCTCACTCTCTGATGCGTGCTTACACCGAAACTTTGCTGCAGAGCTCCCACGGACTGCTTATCGGTAAAGCCGTACAACACCCGTGAGATCCAACTCATCTTACAACTAAACATCCAGATTACTGTGAAGGAGAACCAAAAAAGTTATTTCTGCTTAGGCCCCTGGTGAGAGCATTATTAGGTAAAAAATGAACAACCTCTAAGCAGCCTCTGCACCACAGAAGGTTATAAAGGGCAGGTTCACTTTGGAGCCATGCTGTCTTGAGTGCCTTTGGGTTTGCGGGAATTCACAGTGAGGCTGCACAGAGGAGGAGCTGTGTTTGGCCCAAGGAGCTCTGGCTGTGGGCTAAATGCTGGTTGGCGTGATCCTCAGTCAGCACGCTCAGTCTCATTGTGGATCCAGCAGTAGGCTCTGGTCCTTTCCTTCCTGGGATTTTAAGACATTTGAAATACTGGCTAAAATGGGAGGATGGTGAAGTCCATCTAATTGTTGGCCTTGGGAACAGCAGAGGAGAAGCTCTCTGCTGCCTTTCTGCTTCTGTGACAAGTAGGTACACTTTCTTTTTCGGTTTCAGCTGTACCTTCCCTATCTCTCCATTGGTCTAGAGTATTCTGCTTGCAAATAGAGTAGGTTCGCACTAAACAAAGGAAGAGACCCAGTTCCCTTTATTAGTTTATGCTTTTAAATTCATTCTGTTGCCCTCACATACTGAGGCAGACAGGGTTTCTCTCAAGGTGGCGTGGGTCAGTATAGAAGACTCTTCCTACCCTGCTCCTTTGCAGACTTCCTGAGAGTGGTTCAGCCCTGTTAGCAGCAGACAGGGGTCTCATGAAAACCTCAAAGAATTTTGGCTGTCTTCATCATAGTTGAGTCACCCAGCATGACTGGTTGCTACCAGCTGGATGGGTGCAACCCAGAAAAGCTCACCCACTCACCAGCATCCTTCCTCTTACACACTTCAAACAATGCTGGTGCTTCCTCTCTCCATTTCCACATGGGATCCGGGGAGCCCTTTCTCTTCGTGGAAAGTAAGTGCGATTCCTCCATGCTAGTGGGTTTTAAAAGTCGTGTGTGTGTGTGTGTGTGTGTGTGTGTGTGGTGTAAATAGACATTTTTAAAATAAAGTGTTACAAAGAACTCTGTTTGTCAGGTGCTTGAAAGTGGAGCTGCTTTGCCCTGGCTGGTTTGGCTCAGCAGTTAGAGCGTCAGTCTGTGGACCAGAGAGTCCTGCGTTTGGTTCCCACTAAGGACACGTACTTCGGTTGCAGTTTGTCCCCAGCCTCGGTTGGGGTTGTGTGGGTGGCAACCACTCCATGTGTCTCTCTCACATCGATGTTTCTCTCTCTCTCTTCCTCCCTTTTCCCTCCTGTTCTGTCTGAAGATACATGCAAAAATGTCCTCGGATGAGGATTAAAAAAAAAAAGAAAGTGGAGCTATTTTGACAGAAGCCTGAATGGGGCAATACTGAGCTCTGCTCTGGGCATCCCTGACATTCCCAAGGCACCGCATCACTGAATCGTCCTCACTAGAAATACATAATGTGTTTCCCTCTCCTTTTCCATGCGGCCCACGAGCATGCATAGACACAGGTACTCACATCAGTAAACCGTAACAGGCAAGCCAGTCTGGGAGCCATCCGAGTAGTGTGGGTACTACCTACCTGCCTTAGACACGAGTTGTCACTGCTGGTCAGAGGTCCACCAGGCAATCTAGGCTGTAAACCCGATTTTTATCCAACAGAAATCAGGAGACTTCTTTTGTTTTCTATTCCCTATTTTGGTTGTTCTGGTACTTTTTAAATAACACATAGTAGTTTAATAACCTCACCAGGCATAGTTCATTGTTACAGAATTTTAGAAGGAACATTCATCTTGTCCTCCTACACACACAGACAGATGAATGAAAAGACCGGGGCCAAGGAAGCAAGGTGTGACTTGTCTCAAGTCTCACAGCTAATGATGAAATCGAAACAGTTCCAGTCTCTTGACTTCCACAGATATCCTGCTGTTCCAGAATGTCTTGGACACTTGCCTTCCACATCTGACCGCCGCGTGTGACCTGCCCCAGCGCACTGGCTCCGCAGACCTCTCCCAGGTATGCGGGTAAGCATCCGTTCACAGTGTGGTGTCTGACGACAGACTGCCTGGGGACATACTCCCGCCCCGCCATACTGCTCACTTGTGCCTCCGTCTCCCATCTGTCAAGTGGACATGCTCTGTGAAGATTAAATGTGCAGTCTCAGAACAGTGCCTGGAACATTGAAAGTGCTTATCACATATTAACCCTCATTTTCGTCAAAGCACTTTGAATGGCAGTGGAGAGAAGTCATGTAGAGTCCATTATGGATCCCACTGAAATGTTTACCTTGGCCTGGGTGGCCCATGTAGCTCAGTTAGCGTTAGCAAATGCCAACCTCTCCAGTCATTTCTGGGAGGCCAGCATGTTTGTCATTAGTGTTTTGAGACATTTTGGCTGAGGCCTCTCCTCTGATAGATGCCCTCCCCCATCCCTTCGCCTGTTACTCAGGAGTGACTGGTGGTGGGGCTTAGCTGCTTAGCATGACATGGTGGGACATTCTCAGGTGGAAGGTGGTTCTCACTAGCCTCTTCTGGCTTATTTCCTTAGCAGTCACCTTCCTTTGAAATGCTGCAGAGTAATTTTGTCCATCTCAGAGGACAAAGGGGTCAGCAGTAGGATCCTTAAAGGCCCCTCGGGTGACCGCTTCCCACGAAGCACAAGCCAGTATTCTCCTCCCTGAGATAATGTGGAGTTCAGCAGGAGGTGGGCGGAGAGAGAAGTTTTATGGAAGGATGGCACTGCTTTGTCTGTGATTAACGTGGGTGCAATGACCACAGAGTATTGCTAAGTAACTGCCACATCTGTCAGTCCACAGCCATGGGCTGTGTGGGAGTCAGGGAGACACTGTGGAGCTAGTAGTGTCATCACCGTGTCACGAGAGAGCTGCAGCCAAGCTCAAGTCTTGCTCTGTGTGTAAGATACTTGGAGGCTAACTCTGTTGCTGCTGTGAGCTCAGTGTTGTGTTGACTTACATGGGTGCTCCCTGTGCCGAGTGGTGTGTCTTAGAACCTTTGGAGCTGCAAACCGTCCCAGGAAACTTGTTCTTCTCTGGGTGAGTAATCCTGATTCCTGCTTACATTTGCAGAAGTGTTCCTCGCCCAAGTAGGCCTCCGCTGTGGCTGGTGGAGGCCTGTGCCACTCCCTTCACTTTGCTGGAGCAAACTGAGAAGGTGCCACCTTTAAGGGCCAGGAGTTGTGGAGGAAAAAAGCAAACCCAAGGTGCTTTGGCGGAGAAAGATTTCTGGGCGAATGTTGCTAGAGCAGCCAGGGAAATGTGCCTTTTCCGAAGGATCTTTTCAAAGGAAAGCTTTGCTCTACTGTTTTTGGTCTTTTTTCTCTTTCATGCTTAAGAAAATATTTTTCTTTAGAAGTACAGTTAGATTTGTGTCTAGAAGTTCAGTGGAGAAAATGTGTTTGGATTAGGGACGTCTTTTCTATCTATGCGCTGATGAAATAATGCCAGAAACCCATGAACTAACTCATCAGAACATTTGTAAATGGTCCGCGCTCACGTTGAGACCCTGCCACACTTTCGTGGTTCTGCTGGTTGAAATGCGGAGCCGCGGCCGGGCTGAGGGAGGGCTGCTCTCAGGAAGCGGTGTTTGGAGATTTAGTTCCTTTTGAAGGACCTCTCCCTTCTGTTTGTTTTGACATTGGTTTTAACATACACTTCTATTTGTATGATAAGCCCATTTCCTCCGGGTCACTTTTAGACTATTCAGAGACCACTGAGATTACTGAGAAGCAAACAGGGCATAGTTAACAAAACACTTTTGAAATACAGCTAACTGAAATCGGTTGTCAGCCACTGACGGCTTGCATTTGTTTTACTGAACATTATGATTTCAATAACATTGAACTTTGGCTTGCATGTACTTAAAGTTTCCTCAACTCCATTTACTTTTTATTTTTTTTAAGAGGACAGGACACACTTCATGAATAATGATTTACTAATAACTAAAGTGCGTTTGGAGAGCAGAAGGAATGAGGAAGGGAGGGTCAGACCATTTCCTTTCCAGGAACCCGTGTTCTTTTACTTGTCCAGTGGTAAGACCACGCTGGCCTTTTGGTATTACTGGCAGAAAGCAGGAGACAGAGAAGCAATGTGAGTGTTACTTCTACCAGTAATACTAGGTTTTTAGTTTTGATTTCATGTAGGGCTGTGTCTTCATGATGTGACCAAAAAACATTAGAACAGTCCACTGTCATTTCATTCCCAGAATGGCTCTCGGTGACCCAGTAGCCGTCTGCCTGATGTACAACATGATTTCTTGAAGACAAAATAAGTTGTTGATCTGGTTGAAGTTAGAAGAGTCATCTTAATTCTTAAGCAAGGTGAAGAATTACTGGAAAACCTCAGAACTGACCAGCATGCTTTGAGACTTCAGTCTCTCATTTCATTTACTCTGTACATTTATGGTCTCCATCAGTTAGCAATAAGGCATCGGGAATAGTGACATCATGATAACCAAAGTGTTTGACCTATAAACCTCCACTGAATCCCAGTTACCTATGAAAATTACACCATTAGGGCAGAGAGGGAAACAATCAATTTCTTTTAGAGCCCACTCTGACTTTTATTGAACTGGCTCTTACTCTTGAGCTCTATGTATGCATACTAATGCTTATTTTACCTGGGTAATGTCTCAGGTGACATTGACAGAGAAGCATTTCAGCAGTTTATCAAAATATAGAATAATGATATTTGCACGTGGCAAGAAGACGTTTACCACAAAGCAGTGAGGTCTCTGCATTACTGACCCCTGGTCCAGTGAGTGCCCAGGAGCTTGCTCGTGGCTAGTTCAAGACCATCTCACATTTGTTCTCTGTCTCCTGCTTTCTGCATCTTGACTTTTTCTCTGTGGTCTGCCACCACTGAGTTTATAAGAGTATATATCCTGTTACTGCTATCTGGGATTCTCTTTCTAGTTTCTGAGCATTTCTCACCTGGGCCGGTAGATCTGTATCTGAGTTCTTTTCTCTTTCTGAATGTGTAGTTAAAAGCCTTTTCATCATATCAAACCAGAAATAGAGAACTTGATTTGAACAAGACTTGCATGTGTATTTTTAAAAGTAATGTATATATTCATAGACGACAATTTATTTATTTATTTATTTATCCTCACCTGAGGACATTTTTCCATTTTTTGTTCAGATAGAGTGGGGAGGGAGAGAGAGAGAGAGAGAAACATCGACATGAAAGGGACACATCGAGTGGTTGCCACCCGCACAACCCAACCAGGGCCAGGGACAAACTGCAACCAAGGTACATGCCCTTAGCGGGAACCAAACCCGGGTCTCTCTGGACCACAGGCCGACGCTCCACCGCTGAGCCAAACTGGCCAGGGCCATAGACGACAATTTAAATCACAAAGAAAATTATCTATTATTATTCTACCTCCAAAAAATTAGTGCTGTTGTCATTTTGATATGTGCATGGTCAATGTGTGTGTGTGTGTGTGTGTGTGTTTGTGTTTGAGTGTGATTACACAGGACATATTTAAATGAGTGCTTCCCAAAGTCTGGTGCAGACACTATTGGTGATATATAAGATAATTGTAGTAAATACATGAATAAGCATGTTTAGTTAATAGATTTGTACTCTAACGTGTATTATAAAGTAATAACTAGTCCATCAACCCTACAATTTCATGGTTATAAGTACTCTGAAAGACCTTTAGATGGTGGGAGTCCTCTGGACCTCTTCCTCATTCATTATATGATTTTACTGGGTCTTCAGTCTCCACAGCAGCGGTCTGGTTGGCTTTACCTCTAAAATCTATCCTTAATTCAACTCCACCACCCCTAATGCCACCATGTCCAAATGGGCCAAGTCACCATGGTTTATTCCAATATTCTTTTAACTAGTGTCTCACTTCAGTCTCTTTTCAGTCTCCATTCACTTTCCATCTCAGAGTGAAAGCCAGAGTCCTTTGCCATCACCTGCAAGTCCCTGCATGGACTGTCCTGTCTGTGCCCTGTCCCTCATGACCTCACCTCCTCCCACTCTTCTTGCTCACTCTGCTTTAGTCCCATAGGCCTTTGTCTTTCTTGAACACACCTGGCATGCTTCCACCCCAGTCCTTTGCCAGTCTTTCATCTCCCTGGCATGCTTGTCTCCAGGTAGCCCCATGGCCAGCTCCTCACTGCAGGTCTTTAAAGGTTCCTGTCTAGTGAGCCTTTACCTGGCTACCTTCTCTAACATTCTAACTCCTTTCCCCCTAGAGCTGTATATTCCCATTGCCTGCTTTATTTTTGTTCCCTAACCATGTCATTAACGTGCTGTACATTTTACTTAGTATCTGTCTCTCCACTAAAACATGAGCCCCCACCAGGGCAGGGATTTCTGTCTATTTTAGTCATTGCTATATCTCTAGCACCTAGAACAGTTTCTGGCACTTAGTAGTCACTCAGTAAAAACTTACTGGAAGAGTAGGTTAAATAAATGCATGTGCTGATTTAAAGAATAATATTAAGGAAATCAGTACACATGGTACAGGGGTATGCACAGGTCATGAAAGTGATAAATCAATGATGTTTGACATACACTGATTTAAGTAATCTTTGAGTTTGTTTCTTTTGTGTTCTTATAAATAAATAGCACTGCAGTAAATATTTGTAAGTAATTTTGTATACTTATGATTATTTTCTTAATTGCTTAAAAGTATAATTGCTGATATTCAAGGGATACATATTTTAAAAACTCAATGAAACCAAGAAATTCATAGTTTACATTCTTCTCCAATTTGAGTGCCTGTATTTCTTCCCAGGCCTCACTGTTATCTCAGTGCTTTAAAAAAATATATATATGTTTTTATTGATTTTAGAGAGAGGGAGAAAGAGAAAAACATCAATGTGAGAAACATCCATTGGTTGCTCTCCGCACGCACCCCGCCCAACCCTACCCACCCGGGAACCAAAGCGGCATGTGCCCTGACCGGGAATCGAACAAGCGGGCTTTCCGTGCACGAGACGACGCTCAACCACACCGGCCAAGGCTTATCTCAGCGCCTTTT